TTACTACTACTTCTACTTTACTTCTACTACTACTACTACTACTATACTACTACTACTACTACTACTACTACTACTACTACTACTACTACTACTACTATTACCACTACTACTACTGCTACTACTATACTACTACTACTACTACTACAACTACTACGACTACTACTACTACTATACTACTACTACTACTATACTAGCACCACACTACTACCACTACTACTACTACTACTACTACTACTACACTACTACTACTACTACTACTACTACTACTACTACTACTACTACTACTACTACTACTACTACTACTACTACTACTACTACTACTACTACTACTACTACTACTACTACTCCTGGGCCCCCGGGCGCGCCCTGGAATTTGTTTCTTTCCGGGCGGGCCCCCGGGGGTCCTACGTGGGAGTCGCCCGGGCGATGTTTCTATACATGTTCCTGTACATGTGCTTCATGTGGTTCTCCTTACATTTCGGCGTTGCCCCAAATTGAATATGTTTCATTTTCGGGTGTGTTCGAAGACGGTGAGCCCGTCAGGGGCGATGGTGACGATGATGATGATGATGGTGATGATGATGGTGATGGCGGCCGTGGTGATGATAAGGACGATGTGGGGGGGCGGCGATGGGCATTCTGATGATGATGATGATGATGACGAGTGTGATGATGATGGTGGTGGTGATTTGTTTATGATGATGTTGCTGATGCTGCTGATGCTGACGGTGACGACGATGATGATTATGATTATGATGATGATAATGATGATGATGATGATGATGATGATGATGATGATGATGATGATGATGCTGACGACGACGACTGGGTTGGCTGCGCTGTAGGAAACGACGACGACTGGGCTGGGATGGGGTGATGATGATGATGCTGACGACGACGACTGGGCTGGGATGATGACGATGCTGCTGACGACGACGACAACCCAAGGTAACGTACGGAAACCCATGAACACCCAAACCAACGGAAACCCACGGAAATTAAAACACACGGAAACCCACGGAAACCCAACCCAAATCCAAACGCACGGAAACCGACGGAAAGCAACGGAAACCCAAACTCACGGAAGCCCACGGACACCCATGGAAGCACAGACCCACGGAAACCCGCGAAAACTCAACCCAAACCCAAACGCACGGAAACCAACGGAAACCCAACCCAAACCCAAACCCACGGACACCCACGGAAACACAAACCAACGGAAACCCATCCATCGGAAACCTATGGAAGCCCACACCCACGGAAACCAATAAGTTGCAGCGTTTTTTTCTCTTTCTCCCTCGTTTTTTTTCCTCCTTCCTCCTCCTCCCACTTCCTCGCTCTTCTCCTCCTCTTCCCCCCTTCCTCCTCTTCCTCCTCCTCCCTCCTTCCCTCCTCCCCCCGCTGCCCTCCGCCTCCTCCTCCTCGTTCGGGGGAGTCCCAGGGAAGGAGGAGGGGGCTCTCCATGCGGCGCGCCGCGCCCAAAAGACTTGGATCGCGATCCAAGTCTTCCTGGGATCGTGATTTCAGTCGCTTCCCCCACAACGGTCCCAAAACGGCTACCGAGAAGCTGCGAAACTGCCTTCACGACGTCCCCGACAGGCCAACCACGAGATCCAAAGCAACACCCATGAGGCCTCTGACCCACCACCCAGGGCACGGTGGCGGGAGCAGTGACAGCACTTGTGCACAGCATGTTCCGGCGGGAGCCTTCCGGAACACGCTGCAGGAGGAGGAAGATCAGGAGAGAGAGAGAGCTGGAGTGGGAGGAGGAGGAGGAGGGGGACGAGGAGGAGGAAGAGGCCTCCCAGACAGCTCCAAGATAGCCGAAGAGGCTTCCAAGAGGGCCCTGGGCGGCCCACGAGGGCCCCAAGGCGGTGCCTGAGGCGCCCAAGACGGCCCGAGAGGGCCCCAAGACGGCCCCAAGAGAGGCCCAAGAAGGGAAACATGAACCGAGAATCCGAGCTTTCTACCCCGAGAGGTTCTCGGGAAGTCCCAGGAGGCCCCCAATCGGATCCAAGAGGCCCCCAAGAAGCTCCCAAGAGGGCCGACAAGGCTCCAAGAGATCTCCCAAGGTGGCCCCAAGAGGCACAACTCATTGTTTTACGATTGGGTTTCGACGTTTTTTTTTTCGGCCTTTTGGCATCCCGATGCTCCAAGACGGCCCCAAAAGGCTTCCAATACCGCTCCCACATAGAGGAAGAGGCCTCCAAGAGGGCCCCAAGACGGCCCGCGAGGGCCCCAAGACGGTGCTTGAGGCGCCCAAGACGGCCCGAGAGGGCCCCAAGAGCCCCAAGAGAGGCCCGAGAAGGGGAACGCGACCCAACAGCAGAGCGGTCCCCCCACAAGGCCCACAGGAGGCTGCAAGAGGCCCCAAAGTGGTCCGACGAGGACCCCAAAAGCTCCCCGAGGGCCCAAAAGGCCCCTGGGAGACGTCCAAGAGGTTTTAAAATAGCCCAAGAGTGCCCCAAATGCATCAAAACTGCTTCCAGGAGGCCCCCGG